AAATATAGTTTAAAATTAAAAGCTAAAGTTTATTTTTCGCGTGAAATTATCTTTGGTTAAAAAAATTGTATAATTGTTTGCCAATTTTTTTTGAATCACTTAAAAAGTTCGCAAGATATGGCGAAATGTGTAAAAAATAAAATTATGATTAAGGGATCCAAACTTTGGGTTGCTCTCATAACCGAACTATGGAGACCCTATTTCCCAAATCATGGTTACCCCCTATATCATTTGCATCATTATCATTGCATTATATACCGGTGTATCATTTGCATCGTTGTCAACACGCTCAATGTTGAGCATTGTTCCTGATAGCACAGGGATGTCTGCAAGCTTGCTCGAATAGCTTTTTCCTGTGTGCAGTGATAACTGTGGCGATGATCTTTATCTTTCCCTGATTTTTTTACGTAGTGACTCATGGTTTTGCTGACCTGAATCTGAATTGATGTAGAAATCTTGTGTGTGTGCAAATCCTGTTGGGTGTTTTTTACAATCAATCCAGCCGTTTAATGTTTTTTAACCGCTATTTTTCTGACATCTTTAAGCATTGAGAAATAATTATTCAAAACAAGGCATCATTTATTTTAAAAGGAAAGCAACTTACTAATTGCGAATTTACACAGTACTAGATATTAAGCATTAATGTACCAAAACATTGTGGTGAATCAAAATATTGCTATGCTAGCGTGACGATGCATCACGATACCAAAATCTTAGTATCGCCCAGTCCTACTAAAAAACACAATAGCTTGTTTTCTTTGTCCTCTCTTCAATTCTTAGTGTATTTTAAATTCTTACAGTACTAAAGCAGTGGTTTAAGGGATGTGCTGATAATGTAAACAATGGCTTGAACAAGTAAATGCGATCGAGATGTCCAAGTCCTTTTCTGCAGTTGTGAATGCAACATAATAATATAACATACATAGCCAGACGAATTTGCCTGGTTGTGTATGTTCTATAATCTTTACTTTTAATTTAAGCGGGCTATAAAAATCATGAAAATCAAGAATAATATTTCTTTCTAATAGTTGCCTTTTAATGTTTCATTGATGAATTTCTTGGTTAATTAAAATGGCTGTAATCTTTAAATACTTTAAAAGGTAACACCATCATCAATGACTCGACAGCCCAGGGTGGGCCTTGGCCTTTTCAAGAAGTTTTTTCCAGGCTAACCTTTTTCTNACGTTTATTTTATATTCACAAATTACGAGTAATTTTTTTCACAATTTTACAAAAACGGACTTTTCACAAATTGTCTGGACAGACCCCTGCTTTGTGTTTTTATGAGAGGTACCTATTTTGTGAAAATTTGGACATAATTTGTGAAAATTAAAAATTGTATAAAAAACCAACTCAAAAATATGGTAAAGTAAGAAAATATTTTAAAAAATTGTCTACAAATAGAAATAATTCATGACTATCAAATTTTTATATATTTTTCCCCACATATTCAAAAATAATTACGCTATTGTAAAATTTTGAGCTTCAAATTGTATCCAAATTTAAAAATTCATAAAAGTTATTGTCCATTGTTAAATTTCAACTTGAATTTAAAAAAAAAAAACATGCATTTAGCAGTTCTTGCTTTAGAAGCTATTTTCATTATGAGAACATTTCCCATACGGTCATACAGAAACAAGTTTCAATGAGAGAAAATGTTTCAGAAAAAAGTAAATGTCTATTAGAATAAATTTAGAACAATTTCAAATATTTAGAATAGCGTTCGAATTTCAACTTCTTGTAAAGTTCACAAAGGGAGTGCCTCATTCTTTAATTAAAAAAAAAAAAAAAAAAAAAAAACTCTGCAAAAAATAAAAAAAAGCTTTCTATAATATGGCGTAAGCAACCGTTTAGGCTTACCACTCAGCACTATCTGACGAAGCACGTACTACCTTTTCTTGCGGGGATACAAAAACGAAATTTTAAGAGGCGGGGAGGAGAATCTTAGAACTTGCTTTTTTCAAAAGTATTTTGTGAAGCTACCATTTTTCCTAGAGTTGAATTTTAAGGGTACCTCTAAACAGTAGTAAATTTGCCCTGGACAGACCCCTGGTAAGGTATAGAAAAGTTTAATAAAACATTGTGTTTCAGGGAAATGTGAAGGAACAAGGCAGGCTATTGAGACAGGAGGAGTTCATTGTGTGTAACACCATCATCAATGACTCGACAGCCTAGGGTGGGCCTTGGCCTTTTCAAGAAGTTTTTTCCAGGCTAACCTTTTTGCAAGCGTTTTCCAGTTTTTAGTTTTTAAGACCAAAAGGTCTTTTTCTAGGCAATCTCTGGTATACCTTGGTGCATACTGACTCCTTATACTCCTTGGAAATAAAAAAGTCTCCAATAAAAGAGTACTTGGAACTACTTAGGTTTCCAAATAAGTCCTTAGAAACTCCTTAGATTATTCTGTTGCTTAGATGAACTTACTTAGTCTGCTGATGAATTTGCTGTCCAAGCAGGGAAACTAAATGATATGACTTAGCTGTCAAAATCTAATAGTTTAAGAAAAACTTTAAAAGAAGAAAAAAAATTGAATTGCAAGATTTAGAAGAAAAAAATAACAGCAAATAACTTTAATTTTGCATATTATGTACAAGCAAACTTAATTAATATATATATATATTTTTTTAAATGCCTTAGATTTTCTTATATATTCAAATTTAAAAACATAAGATTGATAGGTTTTCATGTTAATCTTTAGCATCTGTACTTTAACAAAATTTATTAAATTATTTGAAACTGGAAAATGTATTTATGTGTAAAAGTGATAACTTTATTTATTTTTCTTGATGAAGTTTAACGAAGTCAAAATTTATATCAAAAGAGCTAGAAAAAATTATGCAAAATAGTCATTTTTGCAAGTTTCTTATAATAACTGCTTTTTAATTAAAAAAAAAACTGCTTAGTTATCTTTTACACATTGTTTTTAAATTTTTGATAAGTCCTTAAAACTTTGTATTCCTTGGATTTCTTCTTCTGATCACTGTATAAACAAATTAAATTAAGTTATAAAGAACTGTTAAAACATCATAATCACATTTTGTAAAATTTTATTTATTCATTTTTTTAAAGTTACTTTTTTGTTAGCGAATCACGTGTATGCATTTCTACGAATCGCATTATGAATACTCAATTACAAATAGCATACTAATTTTTGTAATCAAATACTTTAAAATATGAATACTCAAATAGACTCTTTAATAATATATATATATTTTAAAAATTTTGTATAAACTGAAATAAATAGGAAATAAGTGTTTTTTTAAGAGTTAACTAGAAAACTTTATGTTATTTTAGAAATTTTAATTTTTTTAAACCTTATCTATCTTTATAATACTTAATGCTAAACAATTGAATTAATTTTTAGTTTCTTATGTTCCAGAAGAAATAGGTTTCTTACAGACCAACCCTGATTTCAAATGTATTTATTAGTTTTCTTATATAGTTAATCATAGCCAGTGTTGATAAGTTTTTGACGCATGACCATTTTTACCATGATTTTTAGTCATAGCTAAAACCTCTTAGTCAAAAAAATAAAAAACTTTGGTGACTTTGTGTTTTTATTTTATTTCACCATGTTAAATATTAAATTAAAAAAATACTTTTTAGGAAAAAAGCTATAAAAGGTAATTGATAAATGACGACTTAAGATAAATTATAAAATATATATTTAAAAGTATGCACTTGCTAATGCATGCTTCATCACAACTATCTTGATTACTAAAAATGCCATTTTTTAGTTCTGATTTACAATAATGTAGATTTTCCAAAATAAGTTAATTGAAAATCAGGTACAACAGCAGTAGGTTTTTAATTAGAATAGCTTTAGTTACAAACTTTAGATAAATATTTCTAGGTGTATTAAAAAAAAGGCTGAATGGATCTGAGTACCTAAATAAAATTTGCATACAATTTATTAAAACATATTTTTAATGTATTATCAGTATTTTTAATGTATGTTGCAAATCAACTACAACTTTTTCTGCAATTTCTTATAATTCATATTCGATACTATGCTAAAATAATTATATAATAAATATATATGTGCATAATGGCAAAATTAGTCGTTAAATGCTAAAATAATACTAAATTAATGTCTGCTTAACCACATTAACACTAAATGTACCATAACCGGTCAAATGACCACTTAAGAACTATTGCATCGAAAATGCGCTTATGATCTTATCGTTTTTGCGCATTTGACTGTGCGACTTTTTCTAACAATTATAAATAGTAAATATTCTATTATTATTATTTTTTTGTATTTTGTTTGTTTCGAACAATGCTTGTTCTGTACCTATTTCTTCCACAACCGGTCATTTGACCGTTAGAACAATATATTGCTTTATAAGGTTATTCGATCAGAAATGCTCGTTTAACGTATTGCATTCTATGAGTTGCACATTTTTGCAAAGACTGTTGCGTAGTTATTTCAATCAGAATGACTGTGAATGTTAATTTCTATTAAGTATCTAAAATTTTCGATTGGCATTTTTGTGTCAGAAAAAGAGACAAAAACTAAATATTTTGGTAAATAACTTATATTTTATTTAGATCAGCTTTACTTCATTTTTAACTAACTGTTAATTTTTACCCACAAAAATGTCTAAACAATCTGGACTGCGCAAGTTCTTAGAAGATATAATATTAATCATTAGAATAATAATAATAGGAATTATAGAAATAATAATAATTAGAAGAATTATGTTTGCGGAAAATGTACAATGGAAACACCCTTTATAATGTAAAAAATTGCGTTGAGTAATGAATTAAAAATTCTTATTCTTTGTGTTTTTAATATATAAAAATTGGCAATACCCAATTTTTTTTAAAATTATAGTAAAATTATTTTTAAGTTTATTTCCTTCTTAACAGCCATATTTCATTCATTTCAGTCAAGAAATATAAAGTCCGGTCATTTGACCGGCTATGGTAGAAATAGATATTTATTATGTGTTGTTATAATTAGTGTTAAACGCAAGGGGGAATGTTTTTGATGTTATGTTTTTGATGTGTCAAAAATGGCACTAATTTGTTATTTCTTTTTAGACGACAGATTTGGGACTGACAGTTGGGAGACAGCCCAACAAAATTTGAGATCTGGTTCCGAAAGAGAAAAGAGAGCACCCACTCCTGAAATCAAAGCTGCCTGGGTGACTGATATTAGAAAAATACTTCTCAGGCAGGCCTGCATGAATAAAGGTTATTTATTGATTGGTGTTTCATTCTTATTTAACGTTTAAACAGAGATGATTGTGCTCAGGAAAAAATCCAGATTTCCGGATTTTTCGCTAACTGTGATCTGGAAATCCAAGATCCAGATGTTCCAAGAAATCATTCATCACATTTATAAATAATTTTTGTATATTTTGTATAAAAATATTAGAACTAGAACTTAAACTTGCATTGCATCTCTTTCATTTGTAAATATTTTTTCTGGTAGAATAATGAAAGTTATTAGAGATAAAAGTAAACTTATACATAATTATTCATTTAAATTATGCTGTATGTAATTTCATGTTTTGAAAATATCAATGATTTTAATTTATCAAGACATAAATTTTTTGAAATGCTTCATTAATGATTTTACTCAAGAAATTTTAAGCATTTTTGAATTGGGCTCGCAATCACCCCTGTTTAAATGATAAGAGAGTGTATTATTTAATATTCAAAGTAGAAAAAATAATAATAAAGACCAAATGTGGAGTAAAGAATGTGAAACTTATAACTTTTCATTAGCTGTATTTAAAATAATTTTCTATTTAATAAACATAATTCAATTATATCCATTTAGTTTTATGTCTGTAAAATTAGAAATACCTTATTAAATATGTAGTGTGTTTGTTCTGCCAAGAGTAAATATAGAATCTTTTTATTTTTATAGTGGCAAGTTTAGTAATTAGATAATAATTTTAACTGTTTGAGTTTGAAATGTTAATATATTTTATTTACTTTATTGTATAGTGTTGTTTTTAAATAATATTAAGCATTATTAATATATTTTATCACAGCTTTGAGTGGTATATGTTAAAATAAATAAAATTAAATGTAAATTAAAAAGGGATATTTTTTTGCCAATTCCGTAAAGTAATCAAACACAACACAAAATACAAAACTCAGGTAGATTCTAATCAAGATTTCACAATGAAAAAGGTTCAGGTTATTAATGTTTTCAATTTGCAAAATTAAAGTTTTAACTCGTGTAACTGTCTGATATTTGAAAAGGAGATATATTCATGTTTGTTGTGAAAAAGATAAATAATTAATTTTAAAAAAAAATGCTACAGGAATCAATATGAAGTGTGACATTTATTTTTACCAACATTCACGCAGGTGTTTGTTGGAGGGGAACTATTTTTTTAGTGGTTGCAGCACTACAGCCACCTGGATTTTATTTCTGGTACCGTCAGCATTTGCTGCAGGTCATTTCTGACAAAGCGCATTTTTCATTCGGTGGACTTTGAAATGTCGCCTTTATAGCAGCAGGCGAACATTAAATTGTTCGTTATTCTAGGTGAATCTTCTGATATGCTTGAAATTCTGAAGAAAGCATATTAAGGGTATCTGCGCACCTGGAAAGTCATGGAATTCGGTATTGAACAAAATTTGTCATGATTTTAAAGTAAAACAGTTGTTATCAAACAGTTTTGATATGATTTTTCAGCTTAAATATTAAAAGGTGTATCTTAATAGTTTTATGAATCTAGTCATTGCTTTGATAATGAAAATTCAATAATTTACATTTAAACATAAGTTTATTTTATAAATTATAATTTACTTATTTTATGATTAGGCTTGTAAAAATACAATTTGCTTTAAAAGTGGAAAATCACAAATACCTTTAGCCTATTTAGTAAGAATTATATTCGTATTTTCAGTATTTGTACTTAAAAGCATTTTTTTTATTAATGTTTGTTCTTAAAAACACTGTGTGATTTGTAACATAATAACATATGATTTGATTACGATATTTTAAGTTTTTTTTTAAATTTAGCCATTAAAGGCATTTCTTAAAAAAAAATTCTCCATTTTTTAAAATTTTAATGTATATAAAATTGACTTTAAAATATTACTACTATTTAAAATAGATCGCAGTTAAAAACTGATTTAAATTTTAGTACTTGATATAATTGATATTTAATATAATACTTGTCTGTATTAAAAATAATTTTTTCCACTTAAATTGGAAAAAACTGATTTATTCTGCGGTGTCTTTTTCCACTGTGGAAAAAGACATGCCACCTGGTATAATTGTTATATGCACTAACATGAAGATTGCCCTTTACAGCGAATCGCCAGGCAGAGAATCAGTCTATGGGAATAGGGAACAAGCCATGCCTTGATATAAGACCTAGTGAAGATCAAATAAGCGATTTTTCTATTAGTATACAACAACTCACAAGAGGTAATATATTTCTAGAGGCCTTTCTAATGTTTTGTTACACTCTTAACTTGGCAAACAACTGATCAACTCCTTTGTATATTTGACATTTTGTTAATAAGGTTTGGCCATGCTATAAAAATATGGCCAGTAGGGAACTTGAAATTAACACTGCTGAAGGAAAAATGTGTGACTCAAATGTTGACATTATTTTTGGTTGACTAATCTGATATAAATCTCATAAATATTGAGTAAAAATGTGAGAAATTTTTTAATGTAAAATTTTATTTCAGTTGTTAAGAAGACTTTTATAAAATTTATTATAGGTGACACATATATGTGTATGTGCGTGATAAAGATAAAGAAAGGAAATTTTTTTTTTTTTAAAGGAGTAGTATAAATATACATAAATAGAAAACTACATATAATAAAAATAATTATAAGAAATTTTTTAAAAATTTTAAAGGCCAGAAAACAAAATTATGAAAAGATGATTCGCTTGCACACAGGATACTAATTAGAGTGCTTTCAAATGTAATAATATACAGATATCGGATTTTTCATTATCTTCGATCTAGAAATTTTCAGAAATCCAAGGTCCGGAAGTGACGAGAAATCATTGATCACATTTGTGCATAAAAATTCCTGTTTATTTCATTTAAAAATATTAGAACTAGAATTTATACTTCGTATCTCTTTCATTTGTAAATATTTTTCCTGGTAACAATGTGATTAGAGTAAGTATGGTAAACAATGTGATTAGACATAATAGTAAACTTATACATAATTATTCATTTAAATTATGCTGCATATAATTTGTTAAGAATTTCATATTGTGAAATTATCAATGATTTAAATTTATAAAGACATTGATTTTTTGAAATGCTTCATTAATGACTTTATTCAAGAAATTTTCAGGAATTTTTGAGTTGGGCTCACAATCACCTCTGAATGTAACTAAAGCAAAAGACATCAGTGTGATGAGCACGAAAAAAATAAAACGTATCAAGTAATATACAAAAATTTCTGAAATAAAAAATTCAAGAAAAGTAACATAAAGCAAGTAATACATTCGTAATACAAGATCATACATCTGTTAACTTATCGACATTTATATACAGCAAGATTATATCTTTTTGTTATTTCGCTCTCTAGCCTTTAAATTTTTTTTNGAAATAAAAAATTCAAGAAAAGTAACATAAAGCAAGTAATACATTCGTAATACAAGATCATACATCTGTTAACTTATCGACATCTATATACAGCAAGATTATATCATTTTGTTATTTCGCTTTCTAGCCTTTAAATTTTTTTTTCTTATTTTAAAAAAAATTTCTTTTAATACTNTTAGTTTTTTTTTTTTTTTCCTTGTTTTTTTTTTTTTTTTTTTGTATTTTTGTCTTGTATGGATTCTATGTACTGTATAGTTTATGCACAGTTAATAAAACTTATTGCAGGTATGCGATTCTTCTGCTTTCAAAACTGGATTTGCTGACTGCTGCAAATCAATCATTTATGTTCCAACAAAATTTTCTTTGCAATATCTTTTCAAAATTTCTGCATTAATCTTAAGTTTATATTTTGTTACCTACGGAAAATCTCGTAAATAAGACATTAATTTCCCCCTGCCAACATTCTCTTTTTTTTTTTACCTCATTCACGCATGATAATTTTTTAAAAAAATTTTTACCTGGATTTGTTAGCGAAAAACACAACAAGCATTTAATCATTCACTGGAAAAAAAAAATTTTTTTCTCATTCATAATTATATTTTAATGAGTAGCAATTTATTACAAAATCTAATTTATAACAAAAGAATTATTTAATCAATGTGATATATTCAGCCTGTTTATTACTTGTTTTAAATTGTATTGAATTAATTTTTAATATGAAATTACGTAACGGAAATTTCGAATCACTCATTTCATTAATCATTTTTCACATGCTCAATGCCATCCAAAATCCGTGTTTGACCCTTTCTTTTTTTTTCCTTTTGCATTTAATGCAATTGTTTTTCTCATGATCTTAAAATTCCCATATTGTTACGCCACGGTTCTTTAATGAAATCACTTTTTGATACACTCGATTTGTGTCAATACCATTGTAAATCTATGCAGTGATTATTGCAACAAATTTTGCAATGTTTTTTTTAAAATCCTTATATTTTTTTATACAATATTATTACGACATGCAAAATTGAATCCATGCATTTATTAGTTACTTTTTGATGCAACAATAGCATTTTTTCACAGTTATTGCTACTGTTATCTGCTTTGTTTTCTTTTTTTTTAATCAAGATATTTTCATGTGAAAGTCGAATCCCAAATTTCAGAAATTAAATTTTGACACACTCGATCGTGCTTAATATATGCAGTGTGTAAAATTTTTTTTTGTTCCATTTATTGGTGTATGATTTATGATACGGGAAGTTCAGATCGCTTGCATCCTGAGTATTCTCAATCATTTTTCGGCATTTATCACTGCTGATTTTTGCATTTTTTAAAAATCTTGATATTTTTAATGTGATGTAAAAAATAATTAGTGCATTTATCCCCTACAAATAATATCACCTACAGTATTAGAATAAAAAAATTTGCATTTTCTGTTAAAGAAAATTGTATACAATATATTTTATCCAAATAGGTTTTTTGTTTATAAACACAACACTTTTGTTACTTTCAATTAGTAGCATTGTTATTGTTAGAAGTATTTTGCAGAAAGATATTAGTGCTAGAGAGACTTGTCGCAGAGAGCCGGAAAAAATTCTGTCACTTTGCCAATCGCCACTGATAGTTACTTTATTGTTATAATTATGTTTAAAACTTTTATTCTTTAAAGAAATGAACTTTCTAAGCCATATTTTGAGAAATGCTTCCAAAAATATGTNCAAAATCCGTGTTTGACCCTTTCTTTTTTTTTCCTTTTGCATTTAATGCAATTGTTTTTCTCATGATCTTAAAATTCCCATATTGTTACGCCACGGTTCTTTAATGAAATCACTTTTTGATACACTCGATTTGTGTCAATACCATTGTAAATCTATGCAGTGATTATTGCAACAAATTTTGCAATGTTTTTTTTAAAATCCTTATATTTTTTTATACAATATTATTACGACATGCAAAATTGAATCCATGCATTTATTAGTTACTTTTTGATGCAACAATAGCATTTTTTCACAGTTATTGCTACTGTTATCTGCTTTGTTTTCTTTTTTTTTTAATCAAGATATTTTCATGCGAAAGTCGAATCCCAAATTTCAGAAATTAAATTTTGACACACTCGATCGTGCTTAATATATGCAGTGTGTAAAATTTATTTTTGTTCCATTTATTGGTGTATGATTTATGATACGGGAAGTTCAGATCGCTTGCATCCTGAGTATTCTCAATCATTTTTCGTCATTTATCACTGCTGATTTTTGCATTTTTTTAAAAATCTTGCTATTTTTAATGTGATGTAAAAAAAATTAGTGCATTTATCCCCTACAAAGAATATCACCTACAGTATTAGAATAAAAAAAATTGCATTTTCTGTTAAAGAAAATTGTATACAATATATTTTATCCAAATAGGTTTTTTGTTTATAAACACAACACTTTTGTTACTTTCAATTAGTAGCATTGTTATTGTTAGAAGTATTTTGCAGAAAGATAATAGTGCTAGAGAGACTTGTCGCAGAGAGCCGGAAAAAATTCTGTCACTTTACCAATCGCCACCGATAGTTACTTTATTGTTATAATTATGTTTAAAAATTTTATTCTTTAAAGAAATGAACTTTCTAAGCCATATTTTGAGAAATGCTTCCAAAAATATGGTATACTGGATTAGGCCAGATTTTCCTGGTCTACAGGTTTAATTAAAATTCTCCTGGTTTTTGTACATTTTAGAAAATTCCCTAAAATTGAGTAAATTTCCTAAAAACATCCTCATTGAAATAGAATTTTTGCACAGATTACTCCTTACTTGAATATTTAAATAAGTATTGATAATACATAATGATGCGAACCTCATTTATAAAAAATAGTTCAAAACTTTTTTTTTTTGTTCAAGTTATTTTTATTCAGAACTCTCTTTTTAAGTTAATTAAAAGGAAATCTTATAACTATCTTTGATGAATTTAACGCCTATTAATGTTCGAAATTATGAGTTAAGCATAATATACAACATTTAAAGTATGTGTAATGTCAATCAGAACTGGAAAATAATGCAGTTTTTCTTTTTTGATAACTATAACAATCCCCTATGTGTAAAATATTTAGTACATACAATTATTTAGTACAACAATTAGCGTGAAATTTATATTGCTTAAAATCTACTGGGTTTTTTTCCTATCCATGTTGGCAGTTATGTATGTTCAATTTTTAAAAAGTGGTCACTGTATAAAATGCCCTATAGTTGATGTCTAGTGTGCATGTTTGTAATTTCAATAAACCTCTGGATGTTATGTACAACTAGTTCCTTCTTTTGACAGCCCTTCGATATCGGGGATCAGGCACTTTTGAGTCTAGGAAAGACAGGAATTCGATGATCTCAGTCTGCTCTTCCTCCTCGTCCAGCAGCAGCAGCCAGTCGTCTCCCTTCCCTTTCTTTGGAACACTCAACCTCGGATTTGAACCCGGTGATAGCCCTCAACCCCTGCAAAGATCTCTCACCCAACAGTCTCAATGTTCAACAGGTGATTTCTCTTCCGTACTTTACACATTCATAATTTATTACACTTCTAATCTGGATTTTAATGAACGCTTTTAGTGTTTCCGTCCAAACTCATGATATAATTAGAATATTGCTATACTAGAGATGCTAACTATTACAGATTGACTCTAATTATTACAGTTTTTAGTACGATTACGGATCGAGAGTATACTGTATTCGATACAAAGCGTTCCTTTTATATGTTATTAATGATAGTATTGTGTATAAAAATTTTATTTAATATTTTTTCATTTAATTTAAAAGAAATGTGCCTGAAAAACTTATAGTTTAAAATAATTGCTCATAGAAGAAGAAAAAAATTTCTTCTGAAAGTAAAACTATCTAGCCAATAAATTTGTTAAAATTTTCATATAATTTTGAAATCCAGAAATTATATGTCTGCCAATGTTCCCACGGGTCAGGGAGAACAGGGAAAACCTGGAATTGTCAAGGAATTTGATTTTAATTCCAAAAATCAGGGAAAGTTACAATTATTTTACAAAAACCTGGAATATTCTCCTATATCATACCTGGAAAATAATCAGTAACAGTATTTAGTTATATATTCTTAAAATAGTCAGTAACAGTATTCAGTTATTGAGATTCAAGTTAAATATTTCTAACATCTATTACAATTATTTATTGCGAAAATTTCGCATTTTAATCAAACCATCCATTCTCATGTTATAATATTTTCTTGCACAGAAAATCTAACATTTCACATTACAAATAAAAGAATCAAAATTTTCTGGTGAAAATAGGGTTTCAATTATCATTACAATTTAACTGGTATACCTGGAAAAGTTCATTTTTTTTTTCTGAAATTGAGTGGGAACCCTGTTTTATTTATCATTAAATCATTAGTTCTAAAATATTATTTTATGTGAACACATGTATGCCGCCAATTTAGTCTTTTTTAGTCCATTCTATTTTCAATGATACTTTCTTAATTGCTAAAATATATTACCTCAGTTTGTCTTCATTTAATTGCAAACAAATTAGTGTTATTCTTATAAAGTATATTTATAATGTTAAAGCATTAAATAACGTTAAAGTATGATATGATTTACTCTTTTGCATGCATTACTAATACAATAATTAGATGTTGAATTTTTATTTGCATGTTTCGTAGTGTTGCAAGTAATATGAATAAAATTAAAGTCAGTTTTTTCAGAATATATCCAATCGTGTGAACAAAGTTTTAGGAATATCCAGACACTCCTGGGGGAAATTTTGGTCTAATTTAGAGAATTAAAAAAAAAAAAAAAAAATAACAATGTAAAAAATTTTATTGTAAAAAAGAGTTTCGTTGCAAAATTTTTCCCACAAAAAACTTGACTGAACTACAGTATTTCTAATGCCCAGTGTGCAAAATTTATAACTTCTAACCAATTTGAGTAACTTCTTGGTGCCCTCAATTTGTGCCAATTTCATTGCAAGCCTACACAGAGTTACAATAATTTTTTTGGCAGATATTTCTACAAAATTTCTCATGTTTTTTGTTGTTGAATTAATTAATTAATTTTTTTTTACAATCTATTTTTCAAACAATATTATTACAACACTTGAAATTTGAGTTGCACATTTGAATAATTACATCTAGAGATCTCCATAAATCTGGCCTTGCCATTGACCTCTTTCTTGGCAATTGGTTATTCTTGTGTCTGTCACAGATTTCAGCCTTTATTACAATCCTGCTAATTTGTTTTTCAAACAGCAAAAATATCACCCATAATATTGATACATACATATATGTGCAGTAGTAAGTCATACATCAGGAATTGCTGTGATTTCGGCAAATCCTGAAAACAAACTTTTCTGCATAATAGGTTTTTTTAGGTAAAAAAAAACATCCTTCTTCAATTAAAGATTGACAATAATTAAAGTGAATTTCGATCAACAACGTATAAAATCCATGTGGAGTCTTGCTTTTCTCGGTTAGCCATGATTCCCCACTGAATCCATGTGGTTTTCTCAATGCTTTTATCCATGGTTATTAAAACAGATGGTTTTTAAAACAATGTTATTTTATTGGGCAAACTTCATTTCACACTCAATTATTAACTGAAGGCCAAAATAGTCGCAGAATTATTAACTTTTATTAAAAACAGAAACAAAGTTTCCATGGTAAACTATTTAAGAAATATGTCTGAAAAAAATTTAGTTTTAAAATAACTGCATTATCATCATAGTTGGCCAGACAGCCCAATGTGGGCCAATGCCTTCTTCTGAAAGTTTTTTCCATAACGACTTCCGATTTATCCTTGATCTCCAATTCTTTTCATTTATTGCAAGAAAATCAGACTCCAAAAAAGTAACTGTACATAGAAGAAGAAAAAATTTCATTTGAAAGTAAAACTATCTAGCCAGTAAATTTCTTTAAATTTTCTTATAATTTTGAAATCCAGAAATTAAATGTCTGCGGAATGATAACAGATTGTTTTATGAAATGCCAATTTTTAAAACCCTTTTAAGAGAGTTCTGAGACATGGTCAAAAATATCATTTTCATCAGATCATTAATAGCATGCATAAGGAGAAATAGCTTTTGGGTGTTTTTATCTTATAGAAATTAGACTACTTCATTTCCTGACTATTGATAAATCTTAAATTAAAAATTCAGTATTAAGTCAAATAAACCATTGGAAAGGTGACATCATTTAAATATTAAAGTATACATTTTCATTGTTTGACTTAACATAATTTTTTTAGTAACTTTTATGCCATATTAAGAAAGAAAGAATTTTTTTTTTCTTTCATATTAAACAGAATACAAATAACTTTTAATGTCAATTTGCTCATTTATGGTTTGTACTCATTAAGCCAATATTTTGATTGATATTACTTTTAACACACATGCCAATTTATTCAAGAATTGTGTAAAATCATGTAAAAAATTTTTCATTGTATTATTTAATTTTTTTTAACAGAACTTTAATTTCTGAACTTTATAAAAAAATGCACAATAATTTCAAGGGAAATTATGGAACTGCATTCTAAGTAATTATTTCTTTAAAACTTTAATTTATAAAGTTTAGAAAATAAGTCAGGATAATTTTAAGGGAAATTTCAAAAATGAAATATCTATGTTCTGAGGAATTATTAGGCTCTGAGAATTTTCTCCTCTCCTGAGTTATTCTTATTCAATTGTTGTTGAATAATATTTATTAGTAGTTAGAAAGTCTTTATGAAATACTCCTAATGTTTTAATTAATTTGTTTTATAAAATAATATTTTGTTTTAAATATACCTTTTTTTTATTTTTAAACTTAATTTTAATCCTGATATGTTTTTCATAAAATATTGTGTGCATAATGTAATATTACAGAATTACGTTAAAATAATTACACTTTTAGTTTTAAGTTAGAATAATAATAATCATATAATAGCAGTAGAGAATAATATTGAGAAGGGATGATAAATATTACCTTTAAATAATGAATAAATAAATAATTCTAGTTAATAAATACCTATACATATTTATTTTTTAATTTTATGCTCATGACAATTCACGAAATCTAGATGTTTTTAATTAGAAAAACATTCCATGTAATTTTCTGGCTAATAAGAATATGCTAACAACATTGAAAATTTGTTTTAGACCATTTTATTTATATTACATTATGAAACAAAAAAATTTCTGATAGCACCTATAAGTTGCCTATATATGAAAGATCTTCGTTAAAAATTTTAAATTTTCTTTTTCATAATTGTATTTTTTGTACTATAAAATGTTTTATAAAAATATTCGACGTAACAATTTTAAGTAGTATATTTAGCCTAATGAAAGGTGATAAAAATTAAGTGCAATAAATTAAGTTTAAATAAAGCAGTTAAATCGGCCAAATTGACCTCTTTAACCAAATTTATCCTAAATCTTTTTAATCTGTTTATCTTGAATGAAAATAAGTCAAATTTGTCCTGAACTGTTATTCTACTCTCAGAACTCTTCATGACAAAAGGAAAAAAATAAAATACTCTGGAATTTTTTAAAAATAGTGTTAAGAGATTGGTTGGTGAGTAAACTTTATTGAAAAACAATTATCGTACATAATAACCTGTATTAAGTACATACGTTTAAAGACATGATATAAAAAACCTGTCTATAAGTCCTATCTAAGTTGCAGCAATTAAATTTCAATGGGTATTTGTAGTTACATAGCTGCCAACTCTACTGGATTTTCCAGTAGACAACTGGATTTTGCTAGTTTCTCCTGGTCTACTGGTTTAATAGAAAATTCTCCGAGTTTTTGTAAATTTTGAAAAATTCCCTAAAATTGAGTCAGTTTTTCAAAAAAAAAAAAATGCTTATTGAAATAGAGTTTTTGCTTGTTTGAATATTTAAATAAATATTACTAACATATAATGAAGTGAGACTAGGGTATAGAAATCAGTTTCAAACTTTTTTTTTGAGAACTCCCTTTTTAAATGAATTAAAAAATCAAATCTTAAATATTTTTTATGAATGAAGTGCCTATTACTATTCAAAATTATGATTAAACATAATACACAACATTTCAAGCCTATTAATGCCAATCATGACTGGAAAATATTGCAGTTTTTTGATGACTATAAAAATCCCTAAAATTCCCTATGTGTAAAATAGTTAGTATATTAAGCAATAATTAGCGTGAAATTCATATTTCGTAAAATCTACCAGAATTTTTTCCCTACGTATGTCTGCAGCTATGTAGTTATTTAAAAGCTGTTTCAGATCTCAAGATAGGCATTATGATTGATATAATTCTTGTTTCAAAATTTTTGTTCTTCTGCTGTAATATGAATGCAATCTTTCTTCTTTACTGACAGAGAGTGGTTTTTATACGGACATGAGTACGGCAGGAGACTCTCCAGAAGCGGATCCGCCCCGTCACAAGCGAGCCGAAAGAAGCGACAGCCTGCTCTCTAGCGACTCCCTCGCAACAAATATGTCACCCACTGAAAGTCTAAATAACCACTCTTTAGAAGAGGTAAGATTTGATACTGAATATTATTCTGAAATTATTATGTAGTTATATGGTTGAGTAATAAAAATTAACTGCTTTTATAATCTTTTAAAATAATCTTCCTTAGCTCTCAAGAGTTTTTGTTTGCAATATTCGATATCACTTAAGTGTATTTTTTTATTTATTTAACAGTTAATTTATGCATAATAGTATTAATATTAATTATATACCAATGTAGAATTAAGTATTAAAATTGCACTTGTTTCAACTTTGTTAATGCAGTGTTCGTATGGTCCTTAAAAGTCTTTAAAAATTGCTTAATTTTTATTTTAGAAATAAGGGCCCTTAAAAGTACTTAATTTCGGTTCTAGGTTTTTAAAAGTCCTTAATTTTTTAGCATCACTATGGTTGATAGAAACAATTTTTCAGTTCAATTTTTCTTTTATCGCTTAGAATTAGACCATGCATGGAGGGTAAAGCATTTTAGAGAGAGACAAAAATTTATGTGTGTAAAGGGGGGGGGAGCTACAGGCAATGATAAGAAAACATATCCTTTCATTTATATATATTCTTTCATTAATATATTCTGCCCTTTGCCTAGAATGACACTCTATGAGGAGAGTGAAGCATTCTAAAAGAAAAGAATAGTGTGGACAAGGGGAATACTGCACATGGAAGAGATAGTGCTCTTTTTTTTGGGGGGGGGGAGTTTTAAGGTACCTAAGTAGAAGACCCACATTAACCTTCAAAATTGACAGAATTCAAGAAATTAAGTTCTACTAGTAATGCATCTGCATATAGGGATTAAGTAAAACGCTAAGAACAGAAGTATCAGAAGAAAAAAAATTGAACTAGAATCCATAACGAAAACTATTTCCTAAAATCTCTAATTAAATAAATTTGTTTAATAATTCAATGTGTAATAAGTAACTGTACATTTATAGAAAGCAGTAGCATTTTTTAAAATTCATGATTGTACTAAAAACTAAACAGATTTGTAAGAAACAGAGTTTGAAAAATCACAACCCACCTAGGTTTTTCATCCCATTAGGTATTTTCCTGAGTACTAAATAAAAAGGCATGATTTACTTCTAACAAGAAAGTTAAATATTTGGTCACCATTTATAATTTGTTTTGTTGCTATGTTAATATTTTTTTAAAGTTTTAGATTGTTACACTATTAATATTTTTTTAAAGTTTTAGATTGTTACATTATTAATATTTTTTTTAAAGTTTTAGATTGTTACACTATTACATTTATTTCTTAAGGATAAGCAGATTTCCCTGGTAATGCTTTGCCGAGCCTGTTAATTAATGCAATTATATTGGTGCTTACATTATGATAAAATTGTTTTTGTTTTTTTCATTTATTGATTTTTTTAGGAAGATAAATAATTTGCACTGTCACTGATGGCATATGTATATTCAATGTTAAAAAATCACTCTATTTTTAAAAATCCTTAATTTTTCGAAAAAGTCCTTAATTTTTTCAAAAAAAGTACCTAGAATTGCTTAATTTTTGCTCTGTTGAAAGAGTAGGAACCCTGCAACATTATGTGTATTATTGTAGATTTGATTACTTATACAGTAAAACCTCGCTACAACAATATTTTGGGGACCCAATAAATATAGTGTCATAAAGGGATATATTGTTATATCGAGAGCCTAAATACTTTGGGGACATAATAAGATATTTTTGGAATTTTAATGATATATATGTATTAATTATAAATCTATTTATGTATATTATATAAAAATTTAATTTGCAAAGTGATAACTATGGTTTAATATGAAATCAGATTGGAATGTTATATCTGTGACTTCTTAAGACAGTGATGTGGAAAATACGGCCCGCGGAAAGGTTTAATCCCGCCCGTTTAAGAGTGCCGTCGTGAGAATGTTTGAACGCGTTCTTACTTCGTAATGTGACGACCCGCATAAAAACTACCTGCGGCGATATTCAAACCACAATAGTATTCTGGACAAATCCATCCGACCTAAACAGATGACTCATCTTCGCTCGAAACTTCCAGACACTCTCGCATTTTTGATTCATTGTTCTGTTTTCTCGAAAGAACTGGAAAAATCCAATTCCCGAGCAATCCTTGCAGGTAGGTATAAATACAAGCGAGGTCGCCCGAAGATCAGTTAGTTAGCGACTTAGTCAGTCATCTGCAACGACACGCTGTGACTCGAGTAATTGTTTGGGTAATCCTCGAAACTCCCACTGCCTCAATAGTCCGTGGGCCGAAGACTCAAAAGCAGTTCTAAACTGATTTTCGTTCCTACTCTCGAGTGGCAATTTTAATCTTCCAAAATAGAACTCAATCTTGCCTGGGAAATATAAATTCACGAAGTTCTCCAAAATATAATTGGCCATTAATTGACAGTTATCAAAATATTGAAGAACTATTTTAATTTCATGAATACAGAATTTTGCCCATGAATATCCAAAGAGGAGGGTACTGTGACGTCACATGAAAATGAATTGACCAATCACAGCCAAAAAGCTTCGCGATTTGCGTCTGCTCTAGTTCTTATTTCCTTTGCTTCAAACTGCTTTACAATTTTTGTATAAACGTTATAAAAGTTTAATAAAATTATAATTTCATTTTAAGAGGACCCGCGCGAACACCCGCGCAAGAGCATTAGTTAGCAGTAAGTTTTCGTCAATTGCGTTTCTGGGTGTTGTTCTCCGTAGTAGGTAACGTCTGAAATGGATGTTAAAAAAAGAAAAGTGGATTCAGAATGTCTAGTTTTTAAAGAAAAATGGACGTGGAAATATTTCTTTACTTTATTTAAAGAAAAACCTGTGTGCTTACTTTGCAAAACAACTGTTGCAGTTTTAAAAGAATATAACATTCAACGCCATTTCAAGAGCAAACATGAAAACCACTCCTACTCATCGTTAAGTGAAGAGGTGAAAAAAATTAAATCGAAAGATTTAATAAAAAATTTATCAAGTCGACAACAATTATTTCAGTGAGCTAATCATTCTCAAAGATGCGCTACGAAAGCCAGTTATGTGTTGGCTTATAATATTGCTAAATCTTATAAAGCATTTTCAGATGGTGAATTTATAAAGCAGTGCATGATAGATGTGTGCGATATTATGTGCCCTGAAAAGAAAAATGATTTTCAGTCACTGTCTCTCTCAAGAAGAACAATCACCGGGAGAATTGAAAATATTGATAAAAATCTAATTTCACAACTGACTACAAAAACTCAAAAATTTATTTTTTATTCAATTACCATGGATGAAAGTACAGATATCAGCGATACTGCACAGTTACTCATATTTGTAAGAGGAATCAACGCCCACTTTGAAATTACAGAAGAACTTGCAGGGCTGCAGTCAATGAAAGGAACAATGACTGGTGCCGATATATTTTGTGAATTTGAAAATTGCATCGATAAACTTCGTTTACCTATTGATAAGTTATGTAATGTAACTACAGATGGTGCTCCTAATATGGTTGGAATCAATCAAGGATTTGATGGGAAATTTAATTCTAAGTATCCGGAAAATGATGTTGTTTTTTTGCATTGCCTTATACATCAGGATGCTCTCTGTAAATCGGCTTTAGATATTGACCATATGCTTAATATTGTTGTAAAACTAGTAAATGTGATTCGTTCCAGAGGATTATTATATCGCCAGTTTCAACAGTTTTTGGAGTCCGTACATGCTGAGCATTCCGATATCCTGTATTATTCAAAAGTTCGTTGGTTAAGTGCTGGAAAAGTATTTGAAAGAATTTGGGATTTAAAAGACGATATTGTGAATTTTCTTCTTGATAAAGACATTTATAATCAATTTGATGTCTTAGAAAACGAAACATGGCTTTCTGATTTCGCTTTTTTCACAGACCTTCTCGTACACATGAATATACTTAATCTCAAATTGCAAGGGAAAAATCAGTTTCTTCACGATATTTGGCAATACCTGAAAAGTTTTAAATTACAGTTATTATTATTTGCTAATCAGATCTCTAAATCTGATTTTTCTCATTTTCCAAGAATACAATCTTTAAAATTCACTATATCAAACAATAAGATTAAAAAATACGAAATTAATTTGAGAAAACTATCTTCAGAATTTGAAAGGAGATTTCAGGACTTTAGAAAAATGAAACCAGAGTTTAGTATTTTTGCGACCCCATTCAATGTTAATTATGAAGAAGTTGATGCAAAATTTCAACTTGAGTTAATAGAACTGAACTGTAATGCTCTCCTGAAACAAACTTTTCATACAGTACCATTACTAGAATTTTATAAAAATTTAAGTCCAGATAATTTCCCAAATCTAATTACTCATGCAATGAAGATAATGACAATGTTCGGCTCATCTTATATATGCGAGCAAATCTTTTCAACAATGAAGCTTAGGAAAACTTCTTTAAGAAACAGAATTACAGATGAGCAGCTTTCATCAGTTTTAAGAATTTCTGCTTCGCAAATGGAACCGGACTATGATGAAATTTAGAAGAAACAGTCTCAATTTCATTTTTCTCATGCACCATCAACCAGTAATGACACCAGAAAATAAAGTGATAATACTTCACATCAAGAACTACACTAAATTCATTTTATATTTTGTGCTTATAATTTTCTTACCTTTTGCTTTTTTACTATTAAAATAATAAGTGTATGTAATAATATATGTATATGTTTATGGAACACATAAATTTTTTAACGATTAAGCATTATTCTTTGGCCCTCTGCAATTATCTAGTTATTACAAATGGCCCGTCTTAAAGTTTCCCCACCACTGTCTTAAGAGAGGCAATTCTTAGACTGGATGGTCTTGGGGTGGTCTATGTAGATCAACTCGTAACTGTTCTTTCACTTTGAAATATCCTTTACTGACAAAAACTTCATTTTTAATTTTTTAGAGTCTCACAACTTCCATGTGAAAGAGTGTCATTTTTATTTATTTATTTTTGATGAAGATGAAGGACGCGTTGTGTGCCATATACTGAAAAATAACCATGAGCTTCATAGTAACTCAACATATTATTTGTATGAAGAAAATGAAATACTAGCACATGTTCTTTTATTTATTTGAAATAATATATTCATCTTTTTTTGTCTTTTTGGGCATTACTTGTAAAATACGCATACTACCTCCCACTACTAATCACAATTGTTTATTATTTTTTTTTAACATAATCAAAATTCTTTTACTGAAAAGTTATGTAATTAATTATATTGTAAATATGGTATTTATTTGAAACTTTAAATGCTCCCTTCCAATTGTGTATATTGTAAGTCTACGAAACTGATTAATTTATTACAGAAATGGATTTGTTTGGAATATATGTTACCGTAAAAGACTGTCAAATATTCACTAATGGTGTTTAATATTTGAAATTTTGCAACTGGCCATTTGTATAATATTTACAGGGTATCTGCGCAGTCATGATAAATCGCGGAAAGTCATGAATTTAGGCATTAAACAAAATTTGTCATGATTTAAACTATTAAAAAAATCATGGAATGTCATGGATTTAGGTGGCCGAAGAATCTAATTTTTAAAATGGAATTTATCCCCCCCCCCAATTTCATGGTGTTCCAAGTATGTGAATTTCTAACAAAACCTCCACTCACAGTCATATTTTATTAAAATATAAAATGTTTTTATCATGTTCTTTAAAAATGATGGTGTTCTTTCAAAAAATAAAATAAAAAACATCATTTCTAGAGCGAATTATCTTTTAAACTTTCATGATTTCTAAATATTTATTATTATTTTTATTTTATCAATTTCAAATTCTAGCTGAAGCAAGACAGTCATTGGCGAATTTTTTTTTTAAAATTCCGAAATAAGGACAGAAAAATCAGGAGTATTTCTTTCCTTTCCCGGAAAAGCATCTTTAGAATACAATTCTGCAGCAAAAAAGAAAAAAAAAATTTGCTTTTGTATTTTTTTTCCAGCTATTTTATTGCTTCAACTCTTTCTTTACTCTGTTTTTTAAATTTAAAATCTACAAATATGAAGATACAGAGGATAACAGTTTTGGTTTTACCTATCATTTCAATGAATGTTATTATGATACTTTTTTTTAAATTTATTGTTGCTTCTTTGCCGAAGAAAATAGTAAGTTTGTTAAGTCATGAATTTGAAAATCTAAAATGTAGCAGATACCCTGTCTTAACCTCTAAGAAAATAATAAACAAATAATCTAAGAAGTTGAGAAATAATCTGAGAAGTATTGAAATTTCTGAATTGCAAATGGAGATTAAGAATTATGGTTTGTAGAATTGCCTCGAGTAATAAAATACTGACGCTCATCAGAAGCAGAGATGCCAGTTTTTGGGTCTGCTGTATCGACCCTAGTGACATAGCCACATCACTAACATATTTGCATATTATATAGTTAGCAAGCCTCAAAAAAAATTTTTTTTTTTGCAAAATTGTAGATTCGCTCAACTAAGAAAAAAGGTTGGCAACTGCTGTATTAAAAAATTTCATGAACTGTACTAAAGTTTATAAATAAGAATTATTGAGCCCTTGAAATAAGTGTCTTTTTAAATTTTTGAAATAAAAGTTGAAATTGCACTGTTTTTATATATTCATATATTCCTAATCATGTTGCGTATCAGTCTTAAGTTTTTGCCTAATTCCTTTCTGTCATCGAAGTAAATATTTAACTATTTGTTTTCCATGTTGAGTTTTCATCTTAATCTCGAAATGTGTATTTTTTTTTCTTTTCTTTCTGTGGAACTTAAAAGTACTTTTTTACCATTATTGACTGATCGTTATGAATCTCCAAGCTTTTAAACTCGAAAAAAGAATAAGTCCCCTTAAAGCTTAGTCTTAGCCTAGATCAAAAATATGCATTGAATTTAATGTTTTTTTGCAGTCTCAAACGAGTAATATTTGTTTGATCTGACCATTGAAATTTTTTTCACTAATTTGGTAAGTTTGATGAATTAAAGTCTGCAGAATGTGTTATTAGCGCTTAGTATAGGGAAAAATAAGGAAGTTTTGTTACAGACCAATCAAAGCAATGTAGCCACTTATCAATAAACTGTTTTTTAAAGAAATTATATTAATCTAAGGCATTTCTCAAAATAAGGTAGAGTATTTAAAATGAAGAGTTATATAATATGTAAGTATTAAATGTAACTCGAGGGAATCAATAATGAAACATTACCGAATAAATCTACTCTAATTTTTTTTTTTTTTTGAAGGATAATTGCTCATTTTATCCCTTAGCTGTTCCTGACGAAAACAGCTTTGTTTAAATACTTAGCAACGTCCTATCATTTTGTAATTCTGAGGAGAAAGATTCTTAATTTATGAAGAGATCTGTCTGTGAGAAAATTATTCTGTTCAAGAATTGTGAATCTCCATTTCACCACATAAGAATAAAGTCATCATATGTCATACTGAAAAAAAAAATATTTATAACTATTTTTTGTCATTATTATTAAAATACAATCTCGCTTGATTGTATTTCTCCACTTTAAGTAATCTGCATGTGTATCAAGTTTTTATACTTGAACACTTATCAATCTCACTGTTGTCCATCAAATTTAAAGTGAATTAACCAGTTAGAAATCGATTCATCAAATGTAGCTTCTTTTAAAATCATTTAAAGAGATTCCTAAACATTCTTCTAAGGCTTTACACTTTCATATTTAAAGTGTACCATCTCTGTGACGAATGTGTTTTCATGTTTTAAAGTGTTTTAGTTTTGTCAAAATTATTTATCTTCACATATTCATTATTTATTTGGTTCTTTAATAAATCTTCTTGAAAAAAAATCTGGATTTTTTTTTTTTTAATGAACTATTAATTTGAATGAAACATATCCTGATGTAATATTCGTTTTCCTAATCTAAATGTTTCATTGGATATCTCATTTCTAAAATAGTTGCCTTCACAAATTTAGGAGCATGTTGATGATTAGTTTGTAGTCATTATATAATAATTTTAACCAGAAATTTTATGTTCTTTCATTATAGTATTGTTTTTAAATAATAACCATTATGTCATATAGTTTTGATCAAAAATTATTCAGAGTGCTGTTTTTTTTAAAACTATTTTTATTACAATCAAACCCTGCTACAGTGAACATGGTTTATAGTGAACCAAATGTTCGCTCCCGTGTCTTGCTACCCGAGTATAATGTTATTTTTTGTGGATATAGTGAACTAAAGAAAAAGAGGAAGTCGGATATTATGAACTTTTCTCTGTCTTTGACTGATTTACTTTCTTCATTTATAACACATATTCATAATAATTTTGAAACTTCTTCTTCAAAATAAAAGAATATACCGATTTTTTAAACAGTCAATGGCATGAAATGTTGCAATAAGCATTTTTTCTTGTTTCCTTCATTATTGAAATGGTTCAGCAATCAAAGAAGCATCAATCTTCCAGTATCTGGACAAATGCTCCAAGTCAAAGTGGATGGGACTACTTTTATGTGCTCGAATGACTGGGTTTAAAAAGCGGAATAACGTGAATTCATGAAAAATGATCAGTTGAAAGTGTTTCCATATCTGATGTTGCTTATTAGCTAAAAATCACTCATTTTTTTGTTACGCAAGTAATAAAAAATTGAAGTCAACTCATTTTTGTTTCTACGTATTATTTTTCAGTCATTTATTTCATTTTATGGATCATTTATTTAAATAATGTGTAATAAAAGGGGGGAGTTTGAAAAGATTAGTCAAAATTGTTTGCGGAATTTCGGTCCCTTGAATGTTCACTATAGCAGGGTTTGACTGCATTTATTTATTATTATTATAACTTGCCAACCCTAATTTTCAATTAAAAAAACATTTTTTTTTGAAAGTGCAATATTGTATATGAATATTGTTATTGTGCAATATTGCTTAAAAATTGCAGACAATCTGGTATCAATTTCACTCTTTTTTTTCTTCTTCTTATCGGTGCCACTTACGTTTCTGTATATACTTGTATAGAGAATTTATAAATATATACACTTTTAGAACATAAGCTCCCTATTGAAAATGTCACTTTTTGTGAAGAGCCATTATCTGGTATTTTGTAATGTCTCTATATAAATTTTCATAGGAGCACTTATTAAGCTGTTTTTTTGTCAGCTTTCTGCAAATTTTAATGTATGGAATTATTTAATAAAATTATTTGTTTAATTATAATTGTCTTCTGTTGTATTTTTACTATTCAGTAGTTGTTTTTCTAGTTCGTACACTTTTCGATTAAATAAACTACAACTTTATAATTCCAAACAAAGAGTTGTAAAGCTAACGAGAGCATTAAAAAGGATACTTTTACCAGATACTTTTTTTATTTTATTTATTTTCACTGATGTGCATTTTTAATGTTTTTACATTATATTAATTTAACTTATTTTTATGTTCTTTTTCTGATTAAATTATTTATCAGGACTGTCTTCGATAACAAATATAAATATTGATGGATAAACAATTTTAATATAAATATTGAAGGAATTTTTGGCTGTAACAGGGCTGATTGTGCTCCAGAAAAAATCCGGATTTCCGGACTTTTTGCTAACAGTGATCCAGAATTTTCTGGAAATCAAATTTTCAAAGGTGGAACCTAAAAACAGTTAATTTATTTGTAAGGTAGAGCCAGAGATATACTTTATAACCTTATATTCATGATTAATATTCATTTTTTATCAGTAAATAGTTGTTATAATCATAAACTCAAGAAAGAAAGACATGTTTGTAAATTTTAACTACTTCTCCAGGTCATCATAGGTATGTGTAAAATTTTAAAAATACTTTATGTAAACTAAGAAATATTGAGAAATAGAAAAAAAAAACCTTGTTTAATTTTTTTTAAATTTAAACTTTTTTCTTAACTCAAGAAATTTTCCGGAATTTTGACTTGGGCTCACAATCACCCTTGCTGTAATCAAAACCCAATCACTAACAGATGCTGTTTTTTTTCTCTTTTTTTCTTTTTTTTGTAGCATATGGCTTTAAAAATTGCAGTTTTTCCCAATTCACTAGTA